ACGTGCTAGGGTCCATGATATATGTGACACAAGCTATAAACAGAGAAAATAAGAAGTCAGTGGAAACATTGTGAAATATATACTGCGACGTGCAAAAGATAAATGTTGAATAAAAAAATGTATAATAATGACTGTCTGCCAGTAGTTTTTTAATTAATCTTGTGGTATAAAGTGTCAATTTGTTCACTACAATTTACTAAAGCTCCTTTTATAACGATGATGCTTGTTTTGTTTGACCACCACACTAAAGCTAAAAGATCTTCCATTGATAATGATATAAAACAGATAAAAGCCACAAATTCTTTAGAAACTAGGGACCAGTTTATATCTGATTTTATGTGAAAAAGGACTTAAATTCTATGATTATTAAAAGACATGCCAATTCATAATTATGCTACTAATCTTAAGTGATGACTCATTAATCCACCAACTAATTAATTCACCCTGAAAGATTAAATTCATACAGGACGGAGGCTGTGAGCAGAGCGAATAACAAACACAGGGAGTACATGCCACTCAACTGAGTAAATAGTGTGCAGATTAAGTCACAGGTAAACTTTAACTTAACCCCCTGTAAGTCCTATGAAAACAAGGATTTTCATGTGCAAAATGAAAACAACATGGCTTACTCATAAAATGCAGCAGAGGACAAGGCCAAACACAGGTGAAATGGTTGACGGAAAAGGGAAACCGAGAACTGTCTGTGACTGTGACTTGTCTCCTGTTTCACTACTATGCCTTGTCAGCTGAATGACATCACAGTTCCTAAATTGCCAACAGGTATGTGTGATCACAGAACAGATCAAACACATTCACCTGCATGACAGCATTAGCTCCTGCATATCTGAACTATATGCAACTCAAGCTGAGTACAAGCTGATACACAACACGGGCTTGGAAATGTCACAAGCTCCACTGGAACAATGGCACAGCAAGTTTAAAAGCTACGACTTTCATTATGCTCACCTGCCTCCTCACTACCCTTCATGTTCCCAGTCATAACAATATGAAAATAACTGCATTCACTGTGGATGTTTTACTTGATAAGGTCACTCTGAGTTTAGTGACTTTTGAGAGCAAAGATCAATTACAATAGATAATATATAGCCTACAAGCTACATCAGGAAGTCCTTGGCACATTACCTGTAAAATGCAAAGTAGGAAGTTTTCCTCTTACTAAAGCTTTCCTAACGAAACAGAAGGCAAATGGGAGTTGGGAAGGTGGCGTGTATAATGTGTTGTTTCATAACAAACACCACTGTTGTGTGTTGCATGCGACCTGCATCTGCACACAAAACATGTAGAAGGCAGAAAGCTACAGTTTAAACCAAAGGACCCACATCGTGGAAAATACAACACAATACAGTACAGCAGCAAGGTGACCGAGCCCCGCAGGAGCTCTGTGTACGAGCCCTCTCCACAACTAGAAAGAGTCCCGTCGTACATTATTAACAAGGGACAAACTATCCGTTTCAATTCAACTGAGTGGTTGGTGGACCCTCACAGTAGGGCCTGGGGCCACCAGAAGGTCCTTGAGAAGCCTGAGAATCCCCCATTAACGCTAGCTCCATAAATGCACATTATTATGCCTTCTTTTAATGGCTGTGCCGCCACGTCATCAACAATCCCTTTAGATCTCCCTTACCATCCACCCCCAGACCCTAGGAAAGCCATACCCACATCCAAACTGATCCTATCAGAGCAGCAACGGTCCAACTACAGCAGCGCTTTTCACATGTCCAGGTCACAGCACCGCACAGCTGTACTTCACTCATGAGAAAATTACAATACAAGGGGAAAATATTTGAAAACTGCTGGCTCACAGGAAAAAAGCATCACTGGCCAAGTAACAAACATGTCATTGCTCTTCTTGTTGATGATGATCGCTTGAATGACCTGTCACTAAAAGTAATTTTAATATACAGCTACAGAGATGTATTTAGGAATGGGAAAGTTCAATTCTCAATCAATTTGTATTTCTACAGCAGTGGTTCACAATTTAAAGGACCCTAGACCCTAATGTGATCAGGTAAATAAAAGGGTAGGGTTATGTTTGCTGATATGAAAACGTTTACTTTACAGAATAAACATTGCAAAAAATATTTTTTGTGTATGTTTTATGTAAAAAAGTATGTTTACTTTCATAATTGAAGTTCTTTATATTTGGTTGTATGTAATTTCGCTT